TCTTAAGTCATTTATCTCAAATTAAGCTGTTAGTGTCCATGATCAACCTGTGGCGACAATGTTTAACGTGAAATGTAAAAATCAGGAGTAATATAAAAAGTGTATTTTTAGATTAAAGTGCTAGCTCATAGTTTTAGAATTGTATAGATTAACGTTGGTCGTTTAGCCATCTAACAATCGATCGTGCCGTAATATATGGCCAGAGAATAATAGGGTCTTGGAAATTCTATAGTTGTTCAGTGGGTCGATTGACTGAACACGTTTGCACTTGGTATTTAAACTTACCAGTAGTTTATTTATGTTATGTACCGATGATAATGCAATTAGGATAACAACTAGGTAAGCCGTAAGTCTAATTCAAAACACACCGCACACCTTACACACCAATCAGTATTACTATTTGGTAGACCGGGTATTTTGGCGGGAATTCTGTTCCCACGGCACTGTTCTGATAGAAGCTACTTCTACTAATAATCCCAGAGGAACGGCCGTAAAGTAGCCAGACTTCTTGTCTCCTGTACTGGCTGACACATGTGGATTAAAGTTAGAAATTCCGCTATGATATAAATATAATTGCTCTCGGAATTGAACAAACTCCTACTTATCTAGATCCTTTCTAAACTCGTTAGAGTTTCATGGACTGGGGAAAAATAATCGGTACAGTCTCCCTGCTTGTGTAATTAAGCAATGAAAACAATCCAAAATTATCACATTATATGACATAAGTTGTAATAGCAGAAACTTTCTAACCGTACATTCACCCGCCACTGTTCAAGAAATTATGTCACTGTTTAAAATCATGACGTGAGCACTGTACATACAATCAGCTATTCCTTTAGTTAGGATGATAGCCAAAACTATAAGGATTTTGGAGAACTAGGGTAATAGTCATAATTCTAAAATTTGAGTGAGTTACACGTGTTTTATTGACGATGATAAACATTTGCAATGTATTACGCTATGCAAGCGCGCACTGAGGGACTTTATGACGTCACGACGCCACAGCTTATTATTGCAATAACACGCGTTACACGTACGCTAGAGAATTGGTTCTTTCGGCGATACGATTCTTTACCAGTTTGTCACAGCTGATTTAAATCTTAGCCAAATTGGAGACTACAAATTTTTCAGTTAACTGGTCCTTTAATCTGTTTAAAATTCGCACTTCACACACAAAATCCCAAAGGGTCTCAATGCCTGGCCATTGAACAGGGATTATGGGCTAGGAAAGAATCAGTAAATATCATTGTAGGCGCATTTGAACGATACCTGTGGTACATTAAAGCTGAGAACATGGACATCACACGGAAGCAAGTGATAGAATCGCTTACATCTTTGAAGGAAATGGAAGCATTTGACAGCACTGTTTTCATGAGACTATTTAAAGCAGGTAAATATCAAAATACAATCTTTATCACCTGTTAAAAATCGTTTGTAATACAAAATAAATTATATTAATCTGAATACGATACCTGATGTTATATAAGCATGACAATAGAAATGCTTCGAACTAACAATGACAAATAAAACCCTGTTATTCTCAGGGATTGAAGAAAAAGATAGCAGATCAATTTTTGATGATTTTCGAGAATTTGAAGAGGAATATGTGGGAAAAAAGTCTACCAAAGTTTTTAAGGCTCAATGGAAAAACTACATGCACAATCGGGAATGCATGTTGGGATATACAGGCATTTTTAGGTATTGAGATATGAGAATACTGTTTTATTTCAAAGTTTCTCACCAAAAAAGCTGGCCAGAAATATCTCCACGCGTTTTGGATTATACAAATCTAAGTGCAGACAATGATTATATTATGTTGACACCACCTGTACACTTTCATTTATGTATTTATTGACCACTTTGTGTATTTTCCAGGCAGGATACGAATAAATTATCACCAAAAGATACTTGTGAAGACTGAAGACAATTATCTTGGAGGATATTATCATTTTTACTTCGCATCGAATATCATTGCTTTGTCAATTCGCAGAGCATAACAATTTGGAAAGGTTGACATCGTCAATCAAACGCTTATCGGATATCAAATTATAAATAAATTGATTAGTTTTCATTAAATTGGACATCCATCTAATTGGACTTTAGCTTTAGCATTTATCTAATTGAACAGAATGTTGGGATATAGGACCAACATTTATTGTAGCCATAATTGCCTGCATGGTGCAATATTTGTTTATTTTTTCCGTACTTTACAAATAAAAACTCTGTTAGTAAATAAATTGTAAATACAACTTTTTGATAAATACTGTAGTTATGCTTTACTGGGCGGCGCTCAGCCTGTCATTCCGCCGAATCTTTATGTTTATGAACATAATAGCCTGGGGTCCCCAGGTAAAGTATATGTATGTCAAAAATCTTTGTTACATGTAATTATAAAAACTTGAAATACATTTATCGTTTATCATTTTTCTCTAACGAACCAAAGCATTTGCAGTATATAGCGCAGCGCTCGCAGTAGTATAGCGCGCGGCGCGCCGTAACCTTCATGCTAGTCAAATGGGCATTAAGAAAACCAAGTGCATCTAGCTGCACTTAATGTACGTAAAGGCCCATTTTTTTCATTCACATTCTTTTGTAAAAAGACAAAAGTGAAAGGTTACGAATCGAATGGTCGTTTTTGCAGAAAAACGACCATTGGATTTTGGAGATCGCGGTAGGTGGGTTTGAATATGTCGTCAGTTCTTACTTCCGTTAGTTACCATGTCAACGGCACAACTAGACGCGCGCATGGCGCGCAAGGGTAATTGCTTGCGGAGCTAGATGAGATGTATATTATAGCCTGTAGTCCATAGTCAGTGTATAATATGTTAGTGTATTATATGTCAGTGTATTATATGTAGGTAGTGCGCCATCGACAGTGAGCCGCGCGTGCCGACTGTAGGATGGTTTTTTATTACTGGGCTGCGCTCAGCTTGTCATTCCGCCTAATCTCTATTCTATTGTTTACCAACATTAAAGCCTGGGGTCCTCAGGTAAGTTTTTTAGCGCTAATTTCGGCCAGCACAATTTTCTTCAAACAAATAGATGTTTAGTATTCTTCCCGACCTCTGATTGCAACAAAAATTGGCAAGCTTACTCATAGACTTACAAGGAAAGTGTCCGAAACGTTTAAAGCATATCCAACTATCAGACATTATGTTACAACTATGAACTAAAATCAGCGTATTTCGCCCCATTTTTATCATTATATCAACTCCGATATCCACCAAATTTTTCGGACATATGTGAAAGCCCTATTGGAAGGTCGTTGCCAATTTTCAGAATGATCTAATTCAAGGAACTGAAGATATATCCAAATAATACGACAAAAACCAACGAATTTGGTCAAATTTGGTCAAATTACGCGACTTTTACAGCTAATTTTGCTCCAAAAGCCGCGCACCATCAAATATGGCATTTAGGCGAAACTCATTGATCTTTTCAAAAAGGTATGACAAATTTGGTATTGTGAAAATTCTCACAGTCTCTACACTTTAGAAAACAATAGTACAAAAATTTTTAAAATCCGAGCAAGTTTATTTTATGGTGCACCCCCTATTATATGCGCGGTGCGAGTGTATTAATTGATGTATGCATGTATACACAGGAGGGGCTAAGTGCAAAGAAACTGCTGCTAACTGCTGCTCACTGCTACTAACTGCTGCTCACTGCTGCTCACTGCTACTAACTGCTGCTCACTGCTGCTCACTGCTACTAACTGCTGCTCACTGCTGCTCACTGCTGCTCACTGCTACTAACTGCTGCTCACTGCTGCTGTCGCGCGCGCGCCCATAGCAGCAGTGAGCAGCAGTGAGCAGCAGTGAGCAGCAGTTTCTTTGCACTTAGCCCCGCCTGTGTATAGTATTAGGTAATAAGTCCAATTTGTATGTGACATGCGTAGTTAATTAGTGTACTGACTACTGATGTGTACAATTACAAAACATGAGTATATTTCACTTTTTGCTTACAATTTCTTTAATTACAGATAAAAATTAAGCTTTATAAGGCAATTGAATTCAATCACAAGTGTTTCCCTATACTATTTTAAACATAATGTTCGTATTATGAAGTGAGCTGATTAGAGTTGTATCACGTGGTGACCCCCACTGTCGCTTCACTATAGTGTTAGAGTTTCGACGATACAGGGGGAGCCACGCACTCGTGCGCGGCGGGTCATACAACGTATGACAAGATTAGAGCTTGTAGTTGAAATTAATGAAAATCTAGCGTCCACCACAGCACACAACGAAACAACGGGCCCAATTCTTGTTTAGGTCCAAGGTCACGATCATTAGATTTCGACTGTTTTGTGGGTTGTGATTAGATTTCGACCATTTAAATTCCTGTAAAATCGTCATAATATGTATACATATCGTCATAATATATACATATTATATTTACTGGGCCGCGCTCAGCCTGTCATTCCGCCAAATCTTTATTCATAATATATGAACATAATAGCCTGGGGTCCCCAGGTAAATATCATATATATATATATATATATAATATGTATATATTATGACGATATGTATATATTATGACGATTATACGGGAATTTAAATGGATATTATATTTATTATGCAGTGATATACATAATATATATAATATCGATCTATATAATATAATATATATACATGACAACGAATCCGCGCCGTAGTTGATACATAAAATTGGTTAGGCGTAGCGCGTTACGTAAAAGGAACAAGATATGGATGTTTTCAGAGGGCGCAATCTCGGTTTTTGTGGCCAATGTGGCGTAACGAAAGGCCCCGCTGTGCGGGGGGGGGGGGGGGGGGGTCATCTTAGGAGGGGGCACCAAATGGGGGGGGGGGGGGGGGGGGGGGCGCCAACAGGCAACGCTACGCCACAGTGAGTCTTACCCCATCTTGAGATTTGCCTCGATGTTTTTGAAGGATTACTAAGTAGACACCTTGACTGGAGACACCTTGATTATCTAGTCATAACAGGATTAAACGAGGAAAAAACACATAAAACACACGGAATCAATTCCTAATTAAGAACAAGTTTAAGATTACGCTTTACAAATCAAAACCAAATTCAACTTCGGATAGTCTACTCAAACATACTAATAGGAACTTGAAAAACGTAACAGTGGTGATAACAAAGTCACTAATAGTAAATCTTTATATTTTACTAAAAATTACGGTAACACGACATCTGTCCGACAGCGACATCTGTCCGACAGCACTATTTTCTTGTGTTTGAAGTGATATCTCAAATTTGACACATAGAAATTCACCCAAACTTGCACAAATTATTTGTCTTAAAGCTATCTTACTATCTAGAAAATTCAAGAAAATCGTATCGTTGGATCTCCAGATATATGCCTTGGTACCACTGCAAACCACCGAATTGGAGATATTTTTTGTGTTTAAAAGGTGATATCTCAAATTTGGCACATAGAAACTCGCTCAAACTTACACAGATTATCCGTCCTATAATCTATAACCACCATACTTTATGGAAAGTTTCAAGAAAATCGTACGGTAGGATCCGAGTTCCGACATAAACTATTGTCCGAATAACCTATTTTCTGAGTCGGACAGATGTCGCTGTCGGACAGATGTCGCCCAATCAAAAATTACATTTATATACACAAACACTTTGCCTCCGGAATATCAGAGTTCATGACTTATAAAAACGTTTAACTGAATTCTGTTGGAGAGTTCTGGTCCTAGATTTGAGAGTAGAGTTGATTATCTGTTTTGTTTTTCTCTCCTATCAAACTGAAAGAATTTGATGAATAACTGGTTGTTTCGTTTGTTTTTGTCGGAGAAAAATCACACATTAAATGATGATTAATAATATTTAAATCAAGTCAAATAATAATGACGCAAATATCACACGTAATGGAAAACTCTGTTGATTATGATAAATAGCAAAATAATTTTATAAAGTGTATTAATAACCCACAATGAACAAATAACACAGAGAGTTTTCCAATGCGCAATGTTTGGTACCATGTAGCAGCAGCGATCAGCACTTCATACACGAAGCAGCAAACATTCAACTTATATCTTTACTACTGTAATCTACATGTAGATGCAAGTTTTTCACTAGATATCTACAACATGACATGACCTTTCAAAAGTATTTTCCTTCCTGGTTCAAAATTTACAATTAAGTTCCCCCCAGCCTGCTTGAGCGGATACCAAGTTTTTCCGAGCCTGCTCAAGAGAATCCCGAATTTTTCACGGAAATTCGATTTCTCAAAAATTTACTTTCCCGGTAAATTAACAAAAGAATAATTTCATTTCCCGGTAAACTAGCGTACCCACTTTTGAAAGGTAAAAATTGACATCAAACCATTTTCTGGGAAACACTGTTTAGATATTCCAATAGTGATCAAACATAAACTGATATTAACAGTACCTACTTTTACATCGGTCAGATGTTATCAGTCAATGAATCCTAGTATGATGAGTGATCAATCAATTATAAATATTTAATTAATTAATTAGCTAGTATTCAGTTAAGTGTTTTATTTTATCAGCAAGCATCTGTTTATTGATCAATTAGTATTCAGTTTATTATTTTCATCTCTTCAGCAAGCATCTGTTTTCATGATGAGGGGTCGTTCACATATTATATCATATTATATATTATTATAACATATTAATATATATTATTACAACATAATCACTAGGGCCATGGGAAGGGTTTCTAAGTTATTAAATTTTGGCCAAAAGGTGATTACGTAATATGTGAACGACCCCTAAAACCTATAAAGTTCGTATTTCATATCATTTAGCTGGGATCTAAGTTTAAACAAAGTTAGTAAAATATGCAGTTCGGTAAAGTCTAAATCGATTTCGACTAACAACCTCTCCAATTATCATTAACTTCTTCAAAAATGAAAACCAAGCGAACTCATCATACATGTATTATGTACAAAATGCACATATCATTAAAATAAAAATCTAGCATTCTAAAATTAAAATAACTGCGAAACGTGAATTATTATGAAATTGAAGACAGTTGAAGAGGTAATAATATAGTGTTAAATTACTTTGATTACAGTATAAAAGTTTAAGCATAATGAGAGGTTCACTTATTTATGTTTTAAACTTAATTAACTTGATTTTATCTTAATTATGTTCTAACTTTTATACTCTCTACTTAAACAAAAACCCACCTATTTTAAGTCTAAGTAAAAACATAATTAAATACTTTAAACAATTAAAGTAATTAAATAATTAAATAATAAAACCCACCTATTTTACAGCGGTATAAAACAACATTAGTAGGAAGTGTCTCCTGACCATGGCCCACTATGTAGAACTCTGTGTTGCAGCCCCGTTTAAAATGTTTCTTTTTACGTAGACTGCTTCTACTGCCTGAGTTATGAGTTTGTAGTGAGATTTTAAGGGTAATAGAGTAACTACTGCCTGAGTTATGAGTTTGTAGTGAGATTTCAAGGGTAATAGAATAACTACTGCCTGAGTTATGAGTTTGTAGTGAGATTTCAAGGGTAATAGAGTAACTACTGCCTGAGTTATGAGTTTGTAGTGAGATTTCAAGGGTAATAGAGTAACTACTGCCTGAGTTATGAGTTTGTAGTGAGATTTTAAGGGTAATGGAGTAACTACTGCCTGAGTTATGAGTTTGTAGTGAGATTTTAAGGGTAATAGAGTAACTACTGCCTGAGTTATGAGTTTGTAGTGAGATTTCAAGGGTAATAGAATAACTACTGCCTGAGTTATGAGTTTGTAGTGAGATTTTAAGGGTAATAGAGTAACTACTGCCTGAGTTATGAGTTTGTAGTGAGATTTTAAGGGTAATAGTGCACATCATGACTTGAAAAAACTATATAAAATTGTGCAGACAACATGAAACTTTGTGAAGTAAGTATTAGTTTCAGTGTAACATTCAGTATCAACCATGACTGTAAAAAGTTTATAGCAGGATGATGATACTGCATGTATAAGTAATAGGAAACATTTCAGAAAGTAGTTTTTAGTTCAGTAAGACCAACATGTAACCCACGTTCTCAACTTTATTGTATTTCCAGGATAATAATAGTTGTCAGAATTATTCAATGTATAACAATATGAAAGATAGGGAGTTGTTCTGAACTAATTTAACACAAGACTTTAGCTAAGACTTGCATGTAAATAATCCTTGTAAAGACTGTAATTACAGCTGTACTTGTAACGACTGTAACAGTACTTGTAACGACTGTAACAGTACATGTTACATTTTAAAACATGCACCTTGACTGCCCGAGTCACTCTGATCTTGTTTCGTGTCGCCAATAACCTGCAATGTGTGTAATTTTACTTTGGAATGTGAACCTCACAGAACCAAGTTAACATGATCTCATTTACAAAACAGCTGGTTTCACACTGTTATACACGTTTTATGGAGAGTTTTAGTGAACTTTATTACACAGTGATTATGTAGTGGGATGGAAGCGTTTTAACCAGGTGTAGCCAGTACAAACCCTGGCTCCATAATATGAAGGATTAGAACTAACCTGAGTGTCGTAGAATGTGATAGCGGAGGGTTTAGGCTTAGAGTTGGTTTTATTGTGTTTTTTAGTAGGGTTGCCTAACAGGGTGTCATCATATAGGGGGTTGTTAAATCCTGTCCTGGCGTTCATCTGGAATTAATATATAATCAGCATGTTAATAATCATAATTAATAATTCAATGTGTTAGAATTTATAGTAGTATATGTAATATGTAATATGTATGATTGTGTGTATAATTGTGTAAATGTAGATTGTACAATCAGAAGGTTGCTTGATAAACAAGGTGTACATTTTAAAATTAGTTGGTTGTTGTTTTCTGGTGCGGTAATTAACTGTAAAATAAACATTTTGTATGTTACATCAGGAATACTGAAAGTGTAAACTCTCCTGCGTAACAAATCAAGATAATAAATAAATTAGAAGAGCAGACCATCAGACCATGCATAGCTAAGTTGTCTTTTGTAGATTGCATGTAACATTAGTGGAGTGTAGTTACACTGTTACAAGTTACGATTATGATATATCATGTAATACCACTATCATTTATAATATAAAAGGATAAGAAAGAAATAAATCGATATAATATTGCATTGTGTCAATAAACATACACATATTATGATTAAAAACACATCAATCCCACATGCAAGTTGCGAGGGTAATGCTAAATCGAGTGTAAACTGTATTATCGCTGCTGAAACTTACAAACTCTGCAAATACTATATCTGGTTCTGCTAAACAGTACGATTCCTGCAAACAAAATGTAACTTTCTTATTTTAACTTTATCAAATTTTATTTTAAAATTTGTACCAGAAACATCGATTATAACTAAGCTTGTAAATGTAAAACGTATAATATGTCAACGCCTTACTTTTTAGTAATAGAGTGAATGTGAAATACCCGAATCTTTACCAAAAGTCCATGCATATCTCATATTTTAACAATGTCCATACATTGTGTTTTCATCAAATGCATCTTGATTCTCGAACCAAAGACGCTTGCATAATAAATCATATTTTCAATTTCCTTTTTAATATCCATCAAATGATAGCACTCACATTCTCACAATCCTTACACATTACACAACAAGCTACTATACAATGATTGAATAAAATAACACCACCATATTTTAAACTGAAATTTGTGTTTGAGTGCTCCGACATTGCGCACAACAATGCTTACAGCCCCCCCCCCCCACAAGCCATGCAATTACTCAAACTCAATAGGTCTGGATACTGGTGGAGAGAGGTGAACCATATCTCACACGTGACAGCACATATCAGACACGTGACAGCACATATTGGACACGTGACAGCACATATCGGACACGTGACGGCACATATCGGACACGTGACAGCACATATTATCGGACACGTGACAGCACATATCGGACACGTGACAAGAATGCTGAGATTTCATTTGTCACAGGTGATCGCTGATTGGTTAAAACTTTAAAATAACCGTCACGTGTCCCCACTGGTATCCAGATCAACTCGGTCTACATAGCAATCAACTACTCAACTACCATGCGGCTAATGCACTAGGAATATTTGACATGACTATATAAGGAATAATAGGAATGTGGAACGTTTCATCAGTGAGAAGAGCTTGTGACACATTGTGAAGTTAATATGCTTTTGAGTGCGCTACTTGGCTTTATTCGAGTTTGAGTACAAAATAACAATGGTTATCTTACTGTGCTTACTCAAACTGTGTCATATCCTTTACAAATGCATAACTACAAAAAACGATCAAATTAAAAAACAATTAACCAATTAACCAATTATAAGCTAATAAAGTTAATTACCTGGGAGGAAACATTCTTGTTCTCGTAAACAGAATGGTACATTCTCTGAGGCGGAGGGTATTGACAATCTGGAGCAACATAGTCCTCATCTACCATGCCAGGGAGGGACACGTGGGAATCTGCACTGTTCTGAAACAGTGTGATCTAGTGGCTGTTAGTACTTGGTCTAATAGTCTAATACAGTACTACTTGGTCTAGTACTTGGTCTAATACAGTACTACTTCGTCTAGTACTTGGTCTAATACAGTACTACTTGGTCTAGTACTTGGTCTAATACAGTACTACTTGGTCTAGTACGTGGTCTAATACAGTACTACTTGGTCTAGTACAGTACTATTTGGTCTAGTACTTGGTCTACTAATAATTGGTCTAGTGATTGTTAGTACTTATACTTGGCCTAAGACTTGATCTAGTGGCTGTTAGTACTTGGTCTAATACAGTACTACTTGGTCTAGTACTTGGTCTACTAATAATATGTCTAGTGATTGTTAGTACTTGTACTCGGTCTAAGACTTGATCTAGTGGTTGTTAGTACTTGATCTACTACTATATGTAGTATATTGTGTATTATCAATAAGTTACTCACTGTAGAGTGTGTAGTCATGGGACGTAGCTCAATGTCACCAGGTGTCACGGAGAACATCTTCTGAAATATAGAACTTTGTCACCACATTGTCACCACATTATCACCACATTGTCATCACTTACCAATTTAATAATATTGTGGTTTTATATTTATACGAACATAAACCCCGATCTCATAACTAACATAGTCATAATCTAACATAAATTCCTTGGATATCAATAATCCAATTATATAGCGTGTCCTCAACAGCTTACATACATTCTTCAGCTACAAATGACAAACCATACTGCAACTGAAGAGTCTTATTGTATCAAAATTTAAATACTGTGTAAATTTGATTTAAATTTAAATTCTAATAAGTGGTCGTTCAAATAATATTACGTAATCAGCCGAGGGGTAAGGGGGTTCCCAAATGATTACGGGGGGGGGGGGGGGGGGGGGGGGGGGGTTGGAATACATATAATAATAGGGAAATTATGGAGGAAATTATCAACAGCAAACTCAACCACATCATAAAATTTGTGGAACAGTCAAAAAGACTAGACAAGGAAGATCTTTTTGGGTAAACTACTAATATTTAACATCAGGAAATAACACAATTTCAGGAAACAACATCAGGAAATAACCCAATCCCAGGAAAAACTAATAATAGCACCAATTCCAGGAGATGACCTTGCTCGGAAGTCCCTTGTCTGCCCACCGAAGTACCACAACCGAAGTGGGTTTGCTCTGAGACAGGTAGTGACAGCTTCAAGACTCCAGAGGTCTGTTGCATTGATATTTATTATTGTATGATTTCGTATATACTTTGGGAGTCCTGGAATGCAGCTAGCAGGAGTTGCATTCTGTGGGCACGGTGATAGGGCCTCCTTCTTTATAGTAAGAGGCCAGAAACCGTTGACCAGAACAGAGAGAGAGAGAGACATATAATAATATTATATAATGTTGACACTCATCATTAATAATTGCTGATTAATTAAATTCTGTGTAACGTAGATTTCATTTTCCAGCTTCGACTTAAAGTTACAGCTGTGTCCAACCAATTGTGTTTCAATACCATTTTATTTCTGACAACTTTAAGGCTCAAAAATCTATCATGCCCCACACAAACCGTTTTTAACGTCCTACATACACTAAAAACCCGATTCACCGTACAGTTTTAAAAAATTGTTATATTTTTAAGAGAGACTGGGCCTGGTTGGCCCACGAGAAGATAGCATATATGGATGCTTTGCCTACCTCTGGGGTATGGCAGTCCTGTGGGAGGATGCTGGTGGAATCAAGATGTGTAATCAAGGATGATGGTAAGTGTTGTGGGGTGTGTCATAGATGAACGCTTAAGTGGTGGTTGAGTGTGGAAGAGAGAGGCGAACTAAGACAGGCGTTTGATGTAAGATTGTGAAATTGGGCAATTCAAAGTGGATTCACTGGTTGTGCCAATTTTGGACAGCTCGTCTGCTTTTTCATTACCCCACAATCCGATGTGAGCAGCTATCCATTTGATTTCTAAGGTGTTAGTGGATACCGTACAGTTTGCGTGAAAAGAATATAAGAAATTAATAAATTGGGGTTTTACTGTAAGTGGTTTCGAGAAAAACGAAATCGTCAGGAACCTGTTCAGAGCGTGACGTCATGGTCGATATTGCGAAATCATTATTAGAGGCCATTATATTTCTACTGCATGGGGTTGACTATTAAGTTTCTATAAAGGAGGTGGTTGGCAGAGCCACCTGCATTTAATTGCTACCTATTCACAAACTTTATAATGTCATTTTATTTAAATATCACTATGATTTTAGCTAATCTACAAGCACTTAACTGGGGACCCCGGCTATAATGTTCATAATCATGTAATAAAGAATAAAAATTCGGCGGAATGGCAGGCTGAGCGTGGCCCAGTGAACAAGCACCTGCTCAAATTGCCTTTTAAATTCGATCATTAAATCGATTCAATGATTTTGTCTCCTAACAGCAGAATAGGCATTAGTGCCATAATATATTTGATTTTGCCATCACAAATATACATGTACTAATACAGTAACAAGTAGTATATTTCGTAAAATCTCGCTTAATTACCCTCTCTATACGTAGCAAATTATTTGCAGCTGACAAACATGGTAATGAACACAACTGCCTCAGATTTTTAATCTTTGACAATAAAAAGCGTAATTTTTCTTTGCCAATTGTACTGTGCATGACTACTTGTGGTAAGCCAGTTTCTGTGCAATTCGAAATTGCATCGATTAATATTTTATTTTTGTTATTTTTTATTTAGGGGTCGTTCACATATTACGTAATCAGCGGAGGGGAAGGGGTGGATCTTGATTACGGTTGATTACGGAGGGGGGAGGCCCACATCCAGAAAGTTAAAAATTTCCTCGCAGATACAAATTTTCTGTTTTCTGTGTGCCATTCCCTCGTCTCCTCGTTTTTTAATCAAGTGGTTACTGGCTAGCTCTTTTGTTATTACAGCTACCTCGAGATCTTATCTAGGGCACTACTACATTAGTAATAGAATATTAGAACTGTAATTCTAGAACTTTAAATTAAGATTACTTGGCCGAATGGCAGGGTTCGAGATTCGACTCTAAAACGCTCAAGCGCTCAGTTTAGGAGTGATTAGTAGATAACTATTGCATAATATTCGATTCAAACTCCAACTAGACACGGATCATGCTTAATCAAAGTGTTCCTCGAACTTAAGTCTTGTAACCTACTGGAGTTTGGGCCACTGAATCGAATACGACCTGATATTAATTTTAAGATAAAGATTTTTATTCTTTGGTTTTTCAATTGTGCTACGAATCCGAGTTTGAGTTGATAACACCGAATTTCCTGTTTGACTCCTAAAGAGAGGAACCAAGGCTTAGGTTCCTCTTTTTGGCTCTGAGATCCAACTTTCAGATCGGACTTCGGAGATCCTCACGTCGGAGATCATGTAAGTGTAACATCAGTACCGGAGATCAGACTTTTTTGCACTCGATATTGGACATATAAATCTAAATATATATTCGAAACAGCACGGGATGTAACCAAGGTTACTTTAGATAATATATACCAGCTTTCGGGGTTACAGTAAAACAACTTCTTTTTTTTTAGTAAAACAAAATTTTATTTTATACCCACAATCAATTCATATTTAGTTCAAATATTTAAATTCAAAATAACCATTTCACAGAAGTGGTTTTATTATAATAAAATAATTTGTGATATGTGTACAAGTGATAAACTAATAAATTAATTTACACTCAAAAATGTACAAAAATACACAATTTTTACTTAGCAACATAACACTGGTTCCAAGGTTGTTAAATACGTCAAATTTTCGTGAAAGAATACGACGTATTCGGTTTTAATAAAGAATACGTCGTAATACGCCGTAATACGGTAATTTCTATGGATTGTTAAAAACGTCCACGAATACGCCATAATACGCCGTAATACGCTGATTTGTCAAAATTAAACATTACAGCTGCGCGCCACCCTCATCATTGATCATGCATTAAAGGAGTGCAGTTATACATGATACAGATAACTTAAATTTGTAATCAAATTTCATGGATAATCCGATAAGCTAACATTTTTGCGAAATTATCAATTACATATTAATACATATTTAATGATTTTGATGTTGAGAGACTAGAGAGCGAGGAGTTCGTTAAGATCAGTCAGCTTCACAGTGCACTACTCCGGTCTGGGAATTAATTTTTCAGTTTGTTAGCCGTCAGTAATTACTAATTACTATTAGAGATTAGAGGCTGCTCCTAAAACGATCTCGCAATTATAAAAATGTAAGACCATTTTCTAAAGTTCAGTCCCCTCAACATATTTGAATTTTTGAATTTTTTGAATAAAGAATACGTCGTAATACGTCAATTTTCGAGGATTAATACGTATTCGTATTCCAATACGTATTCCCTCCTAATACGTATTTAACAACCTTGACTGGTTCAGCGCGCGGCTGAAAAAAAATTGCTAAAATATTGATTACGTAATATGTGAACGAACCCTAATGAATAATGATACACCAGTACCAGAGCGGGGTATCACAGAGTTGCAATAATGGTAATGATGTCGTCCTCATCACATCTACAGTTAACTTAATGAGACTAATGTTTGACGGGTAGTGACAAGTGATTCAGTGAGTGTAGATTTGTGTGTAGAATGTAGTATTGTAGGCTTAGTGGCTCAGTTGGTTAATCCGGGCCTGGTATTGCTTGAGGTACCAGGTTCGATTCCCGACTCTGTCACTAGCCGTGGGGTGAGCGTCGTCGACGCTCAGCTAAGGATCCTGAGTGGTCTATGCAGCCCCCCGGTCCACTCAGCCAAATACTCGAGAAATCGGGTGTGAGGGTTAAATGAGGAGCTGCCCATTGCAGCAAAGTCTCGGGCGAAGAAAGTATGGTACACACTACCTTAACCGTCACTGGCCTAATGTATAATTGAATCCTTCGGCTTCCTGTAATTGGCTGGTTACACACTTGTGTAACAATGTGGCTGTTGGAATGTCCGAAGTAAAATAAGAGTTGAGATAAAAAATTAAAAAAAAAAAAAGTGTGCACACTGTAGCGTGTACAACAACTGATCGTAGTATCGGTGTATCGGTGTTGGAATTTAACTTTTGTCTGTGGGATTTCATAAAACATTTAAACAAATGAAACACAGGTTTGATATAAACCTCCTCCAGTGATACAGTGGAAGATGTTAGAAATGTATGTGGCACAACTTGCCCAGTGTAATGAAGCGTTAGTTAGATGTTATCGCAATCTACAATATCGCAAAGACCATGTATAATATAACGTGTTCCTGCTAGTCATAAGTTGTGATTTCAGATTCTGTAATCTACATTACTTGTAATAGTGACACAGCTGAGAAGCATTAAGATTAAGCTAACTGTAAAGCACACTAGCTTAGCACAGACCATATTGCATACAGTCAATAAATCTGTAGTAGAGTAGATACTTTCGATTCAGTTTAGAAAATTAACACAACATTTGTTTAACAAGATCGTCATGACATGACGCAGAGTAACAAGCTTAAACCAGTAACACACTTAATTCACGCCAGTAATTTCCCATGTAACGAATATAACGTTAGAAGAAGGAGTGATAGAGCCACGTTGTTTGCAGTGTGGTTTCTAAGATCATGTTTCATAACACAATACTACTACTACTAGGGCAGTAGAACACAATAAACTCTTAATGTAGGTCAGGGACTCAGCTGCTGACTGGTTTTAATGAAACACTGCTAATCTGGTGAGCTCTGGTTACAGCAAGTAAAGTTGTATGGTAGGATGAGAAGCTTTAGTTATATATAAATGCATTAGATGCACAATGTACACGATCAATTATTGGTCAATTATTGATCAATTATTGATCAATTATTGGTCATACAATAATGTGATTTAAATGTGGTATTCCCTCTAATCATCTATCGTGAAACAGGCCTATGTGCTGCGGCTTACTATAAACGAATTACAAAACATTTCCTTGTGTTTCCAAGGACACAGTTAATTAGATAATAACAAGTACAAATAAAGACAGTGCACCTGTACCTGTGAGCTGTACCCCTCATCTGTACCCCTCACCTGTACCTGTGAGCTGTACCCCTCATCTGTACCCCTCACCTGTGAGCTGTACCCCTCATCTGACTGTCTTGTAGGGTTCCTTTTATCAAACAACACTACTTCTCCTCCCTTATCTGCAGAGTCTAATGAACCGTTCCGTACCCACGTACTACCGTAATCCTCTCCAACCTGGTCATAATGTTATATATTATTATACTTATAACACAATGTTATAAACTTATAACTCCGGCATGCGCAGGGATTATGTGTGTTATAACATAGGAGGGATGTTGTCACATTGAAACGTCGAATAATTCCTTTCCTGATAAGAGCCTTTTCCTTGTCGCATCAAACGGGATCAATAGAAATTTACCCAAGATAACATTTCAACTATGCGACTCATAAATAATATTCCAATCCGGATTTTACATCTATTAGGAGGGATGTTATAAACTATGTAATAAATGTTATTTAAACTTATTACTCGATAATATTATGTTTATTCTAGGAGTTTCTAAAATTTCAATTTGGGTTGCTGAGATTACGTGGTCTCAAAAAATGTTTTTAAAATTTAAACAATGAAGCGTTCCTTATATTTAAATATAATCAGATAATTGACGAAATCACTAAATAATTATGATAATTAATTATGATCCTTAATCATGATAATTAATTAAAATAACTCACCGCACTATTTGACATGGCACTATCGTCCAGTGCAGTAACAGTGGTAGTAGAACTGTTAAGAGTCGTGTTGTTACTACCAGCACCTGACTGGTACAGATTGTTAACGGAGTGTTGGTCGTGTAGTGATCGCGGGTTGTTATTCCTCTGTTTTACCTCCGAGTGGTTACCTGTTAGATGTTTCTTTGTTATCAGATAATATTAAAATTAATTATTACAATTAATTATTATTACTAGCAGGAACCCGTCTAACCCTAAAGTGACACCACTTGGAGGTACAAATTTTGGGCACTAAAATTATTATTCCTTGGCCAATTTTTTATTTTTTCATGCTGATTTGAAGCCCATTAACGCATTTGAACCAGTCAAAAAAGTTAAGGTTGTATATCTTTTACGGTTTTTGCGGAAATTCGTGCTAAAGTTGATGCCGTGGTGTCAGTAAAATGGTACGGATATACATATTATATACATATATATAATATCGTCTCGCTTTATATATAGTAAGATCAACTTAATCTTTCGATGATGGTAATTGGTAACTAGTATCTGACAATGAAAAGAGAGACTTGAATTATATTTATGTTATTAGAACTATCAACTAACCTAATGGGTCCTGATGCTTTTTGCAGTTAGACGGTGTTTATTATTATTATTTATCAATTATTATTAAGTTAAATATTACTACAGGGTGGCCCAGAAGTAACTGCCCACACGCAACCCTTTAATAACTCACGTAATTCTTCTTAGAATTGCACAGAAATTTCAGAGATTATAGATATGGGTCAAACTTAGATTTCCTGAAAGTTTCGTCAAATTTAATTAATAACAGTGGGTGTGGCACGCCACTACCTCTTTTTCACTATTGTCACCATAAATTGAGAACGCTTTCAGCTAAGAACTTCAAAGTTTCTAGACACATTTGGTTTGATAATTGAAGTGCTTTCCCAAAATTTCAAGTTGGTTACAACCAACTTGAACAATTTCACAATTTAACCGAGTTACAGTTATGACCCTTTTAAGGGGACATACACCAAAACCTTTTTTGCCGAGATTCGGGATTTGACTTCATATTATGAGAGTATAGATAAAACAATAAGATTTGATACATTGAAAATTTTTTTGAGAGTGCGCACTTTCGAAAAAAAAAATTTTCTTTTTGGAAATTTTTTTAAATTTTGAGAAGTCTGTCACTGAAATACCGATAATTCAGTCATTTTAAAAGTTTGTTTGCTGATTTATTTACTGAACATTATGTACAACCCGTACAAGAAGCCCTTAAAAGGATTATAGAATTGAGCAATAAATGACGAAGTAACAGACCGAACAAGGACGAGAGAAGCAAAATTGAAATTTTTGCCTATTATTAAAGTTGTACATTTTACCAATCACCCAGGTCATAAGATATCGCTTCAAAAATTCTTGTGAGTGTAGCTGATGATCATATCCAACTTTTTGCAACAGGATTTCTCTCAATTTTGAGTTTTAAGGTATGAAATCTGGCCTCAAAGATCTTAGTAAAATTCATGTAAAAAAGGGTCAAAAATGGCTTCAAATGCCTATAACTTAAAAAGTATCAGATTTTTTTTTGAAATAATTTTTACAGAATCGTAATCAGCTTGATGAGACGAAACTTTTAGTCCCAAATTTATAATACTTAATAATAAGACACAAAATTTGTAATAAAATGTGTACAATTTGTACTCTTGTGTTCGAGCTAACAAAATTATTTAAGATAATTTTTCTTCTAAAATCATCTATTTGGTATTAAAAGTTTCTACAAACTTTGAAATTCCTAGCTGAAAGCGTTCTCACTTTATGGTGACAATAGTGAAAAAGAGGGAGTGGCGTGCCACACCCACTGTAATTAATTAAATTTGACGAAACTTTCAGGAAATCTAAGTTTGACTCATATCTATAATCTCTGAAATTTCTGTGCAATTCTAAGAAGAATTAAGTGAGTTATTAAAGGGTTGCGTGTGGGCAGTTACTTCTGGGACACCTTGTATTATTTATCACTATTGATTATACAACAGTCCCTTCAGGACTAAACAGGGCGCTTGTTGAGTTGTAGTTCCTCCTTTATAAGTTTATAGGGACTACAAAAATTACACTTCAACAGACGGGAAGTACGTCATGGATCACCATTTAATATTACAGAACGATGATGTACCATTCAATCGTTTAAAATTTTTACAAGCATCTGCTCTTACTGAGATCCCAAGCCTTAGTTTTGGATGTTTAGATGTTCTGGTAAACCGCTACAGTCCGTCTTTTGACTTTTTCAATGTAGATTTATAACAATAACAGTTAGTTGATATTCACTTTGAATGAAGAAGAATCGTCAAAAGGTTGCTCTATATTTTGCATCTTTGACTAAGCTGTTCAGGACCTGGCGAAAACTATAACCGGCAAGTGATAGGAATTTTAATTTAAATGCCATTTGCGGGGATTTGTTTTAATATTTGTCTACGTTTAACTCGTGAGCTTGCTTTTAGATTAGACGGAGGGGGATTTGGAATAGATAATGTCTTTAAAATTTCCAATCACTTTTCAATATCATCTTAGCTAAAATATTTTTTAGATTATGGAGCTATGAAACTTGCAACATTACTGATTCTGTTGAAACTTGGTAAACCAGATTCTCCATCATCACCACAGAGTACTACGACAACACCAATCCCCACAAGCACATACAATGTTAAAGCTTGGTCCGAAATTATCCAAGGTAATTATATCACTTATATTATTAAGTATAAAAATTAAAATCGACTACTACATCAGTTTAAAGACAGTAATTTTTGTTTTGGATAAATTCATGGAAACGTTAGCTTATTGAGTGTCTCTCTTGAAAACACTTTGCAGAATCGTGCAGTTTTACAGAAGACGGAGGATTTTTGAAACAGGTATGTTTGAGAACGAGGTATCACACGCTCTATAAGTGTCACAATACAGAGGAACATTATTGGACGAAAAAATTGCAAAGAGTGTCAGCTTTATGTTCAGATGATCCGCACTATTATCAGGCCTGCAGTAATTACCTCCTTAGAGTATTTAATGTGGAGATAACAAATGGGAAAATTCTTTGTGGAGGATTTCTGTGTAAGAATAGATTGGGTAGAATCAGGAACACATTAGAACACGGTCAATTAATTTGCAATGGACAATCTAACTGTGTCAATACAGAACTAGATGAAGAGGGATGCAGCGAAATGATGACTATGCTGAGTGGGAAAAAGATAGCGTCCAACAAACTCTGTAATGATGAGTGTGATACAGACTACCGATGTGAAGATGAGGCTCTTGTAACGGATACAGTTACGGTATGTATTGTGACATTCCATTTAGAGCAGGAATAGTAAACTACTTACCACCATATTATATATGTGATGGAAAAAAGGACTGTGTTAACGGAGAGGACGAAGCTAACTGTACCGTTACTAATGAAACACAGTACACTTGTGAACATAACAGCAATGGACGTACAGTACCAGTACACAACTTTACAAGATGTACAGTGTTAGACAGTAACTACAACTACTGCAGTGATGCTTCATGTCACACAAACTGTTCAGATCCCGCCAGAGTAGGGGTAAGGTGTCTTGTTAACGGATACTTGTCCTACTAGGCTGATTCTGAATAAGGTATTAATAGACACTAGTATCGTTATTATGTTTGCTGATTATTACGTACACTGTTATGTTTTAAAGATACAAACTTTTAAAAGAGGCAAACAATTATAAAAACCAAATTTAAAAGAAGAAAAAAAAGGGGGGAAAAATGGAGGAAAAAAAACTCATCGTCTGAAATAACGGACAATTTATGAATCTGAATAAAAGTATTGATTATATTGCTATGTTATTTTAAAATGATTAGAACATTTATTGAATTATTGAATTATACTGATATTTTAGTATTAAGAACATTAATCAAAGATATGACTTTTAAGTGTTTTTATAATAATACTAGAATGACCGTTTTTTTTTTTTTTTTTTTTTTTTTTTTTTAAGAGAGGCTGGGCCAAGATAGCCCACGAGAGGATAGCATTGAGATGCTCTGCCTACCTCTGGGGTGTGGCAACCTTGGGGAAGGTTGCCGGTGAAATCAGAGTGATTGGTGGAGGATGGTGTAAGATGATATATGAGTTAAAATGATACGCTTAAATGCCAGCTAGGTTTGGAAAAGTAAAACGAGACGAGACAGCATATGAGCTAATACTTTAAGTCACCCCGGTCTGATCCAGCTCTTCCGGCACAATTAAGCGTTTGGTGCGGTTTGCGAAATTGACAATTGTGGTGACTGGTGATGTGTTGGTTGTCGAATATGTCATTGACAGAGAGGTAGTAGTCCTGGAAATATTGACCTCTAATTTGGGCAATAGCTGGACACTGTCCAAGGAAGTGTGAGACAGTTTCCTCTCCGTCGCCGCACATAGGACAAGCACTGGTGTTTGATTTGCAAATGGTGTGAAGGTGTTTGTTTAAGCCGCAGTGACCCGTGATGAGGTGAACTGCAGTTCTGTAATCTTGTCTGTTTTTGCTGAGTGTAGTGTTGAGGTTTTTGATGATTTTGGCATGCTTGTGGCCGAGTGTCAGTTTGGTGTGTCTGGGACCGTCAGTTAACCAAGTTTCCTGATTCAGTCTGTTGACTTTGTTGTCGATTTGACGCTTGATGTAGGATTGTGGAATTGGACACTTCAAAGTGGATTCACTGGTTGTACCAAGCTTGGCCAGCTCATCTGCTTTTTCGTTCCCCCACAATCCGATGTGTGCTGCAATCCATCGTATCTCTAGCGTGTTGTTGGATCCGAGTGCATTAAGAGAGTCGTAACAGTCTCTTGTAGTTCTACTTCGCGTTGAAAGCGCAGAAATAGCTTGTATAGATGAGAGACTGTCGGACCATATGATGATATGTGTGTTGGTATAGGTAGAGAGATATTTGCAAGCTTCAATGATGGCGGTGAGCTCTGTTTGGTAAACAGTGCAATAATCAGGGAGCTTGAATGATCTTTCTTCAAGGGTGGTGTTATTGTTGTCAGTTGTGATGATATAGCCAGCCCCGCATCCTGAGTCTGTGAGTGACCCGTCAGTGTAGCAGGTGATCGTTTCACTGGTAATGTTGTCGATGGTGTTTTGAAGTGAATTTCTATATTCAGTGGTATCGGCTCCAGGAG